AAAAAATTAGCCAGGCGTGGTAGCCTGCGTCTGTAGTTCCGGCTACTTGGAAGGCTAAGGTGGAAGGATCGCCAAAGCCCAGCAGGTCAAGGCTGTGGAGGCTGGGAGCGTGCCACTGCACTTCAGTCTGGGCGACAGAGTGAGACTCCAATTCAGAAAAAAAGAAAAAGAAAAAAGAAATACAAATGATTATCAGAGACCATTAGGAACAACTGTACACTAATAAATTGGAAAGTCTGAAGGAAATGGATATATTCCTGGACACATACAATCTACCAAGATTGAACCAGAAAGAAATAGAAAACCTGAAAAGACCAATAACAAGTAACAAGATTGGGTCAGTAATAAAAAATCTCCCAACAAACAAAAACCCAGGACCAGATGACTTTACCGCTAAATTCTCCAAACTCATAAAGAATTACTAGCCAATTCTTCCCAAATTGTTCCCCAAAAATTGAAGAGGAGGAAATTCTTCTTAACTCATTCTATGAATCCATGAGGCCAGCATTACCCTAATACCAAAACTAGACAAAAGGGGGAAAAAAAAAGAGAAAAACCACAGTTCAGGTTAATATTCGCAATGACCACAGTGATAGAAATCCTCAACAAAAATACTAGCAAACCAAATCCAACAACACATTAAAAATAAATGAATAAAAAACACGATGATCAAGTAGGATTCAACCCAGGGATGCAAGCATGGTTTGACATATATGAATCAAGAAATGTGATGCTCACATCAACAGAATGAAAGACAAAAACCACATGATCATCTCAGTAGACAAGAAAAAACATTTGATAAAATCCAACACCCCTTAATGATAAAAACTCTCAACAAATTAGGCATAGAAGGAACATACCTCAACATCATCAAGGTCATATATGACAAGCCCACAGCTAATATCATGCTAAATGTGAAAAAGCTAAAAGTCTTTCCTCTAAGAACTGGAACAAGACAAGGCTGCCTACTTTCACCAGTCTTATTCAATATAGTACTGAAAGTCCTAGCCACAGCAATCAGACAAAAGAAATAAAAGACATCCAAATTAGGAAAGAGGAAGTCAATTTGTCACTCTTTGCAGATGACATAATCTAAAAAAAAAAAAGAAAGAAAGAAACCCCTAAAAATTCCACCAAAAAGCTCCTCAAACTGATGAAAGAATTCAGGAAAGTCACAGGGTATAAAATCAACATACAAAAATCAGTAGCATTTCTATACATCAATAACAAATTAAACTGAAAAAGAAATCAAGAAAGCCATCCCATTTATAGCAGCTACAAAAAAATACCTAGAAATAAATGTAATCAAGGAGATAAAAGACCTCTGCAATGAAAGCAGCAAAATATTGATGCAAGAACAAATGAAAAGACATCCCATGCTCATGAACTGGAAGAATTAATATTGATTGCTAAAATGACCATATTACCCAGAACAGTCTATAGATGCAATGCAATCACTATCAAAATACTGTGACATTCTTCATAGAAATATTAAAAAAATCCTAGAATACGTATGGAACCATAAATGATCTTGAATAGCCAAAGCAATAATGAGCAAAAAGAACAAGCCTGGGCTGGGCGCAGTGGCTCATGCCTATAATCCCAGCACTTTGGGAGGCTGAGGTGAGAGGACTGCCTAAGCCTATGGATTCAAGACCAGCCTGGGCAACTTGGTGAGACCTCATCTCTACAATAAATCAAGAAAAATTAGCAGGGTGTGATGGCACACACCTGCTTCCAGCTACTTGGAAGGCTGCAGTGGCCATAAGCTTGCCACTGCACTCCAGCCTGGGCAACAGAGTGAGACTCCAACTCAAAAAAAAAAAAACTGGAAGCATCACACTGCCTAACTTTATCATATCCTACAAAGCTATGGTAACCAAAACAGCAAGGTGTTGGTATAAAAACAGACACAAATACCAACAGAAAAGAGAACCTGAAATAAATTCTTGTATTTACAGTCAGCTGATTTTCAACAAAGTCACAAAGTACACACATTGAAAAAGGACACCCTCTTCAATAAATGGTGCTGGGGAAACTGGATATTCATATGCAGATGAATGAAATTAGACCTCTATCTCTCACCATATATAAAAGCCAATTAAGAATGGATTAAACACTTAAATATAAAAGTCAAAACTATAAAACTACTAGAAGAAAACATAGGGGAAATGCTTCAAAACATTGGTCTAGGCAAAGATTTTATGGCCAAGACTTCAAAAACGCGGGCAACTAAAACAAAAATAGACAAATGGGACTATATCAAGCTAAAAAAACTTCTGTACAGCAAAGGAAACAATGAACAAAGTAAAAAAGACAACCTGATGAATGGGTGGAAATGTTTGCAGGCGGGCTCAGTGCCTCAGCCTGTAATACCAGCACTTTGGGAGGCTGAGGCGAGTGGGTTGCCTGAGCCCACAGGTTTGAGACCAGCCTGAGCAACTTGGTGAGACCACGTCTCTACAATAAATCAAAAAATATATATATTAGCTGGGTTGTAGTTCCCACTACTTGGAAGGCTGAGGCAGAAAAATTGCAAGAGCATAGCAGGTCGACACTGGGGTGGCCGTGAGTGTGTCACTGCACTCCAGCCTGGGTGATGGAGTGAGACTCCAACTCAAAAAAAGAAAGAGCCGGGCTCGGTGGCTCAGCCTGTAATCCCGTGCCTTTGGGAGGCTGAGGTGAGTGGATTGCCTGAGCCCGCGGGTTCGAGACCCACCTGGGCAGGCGAGACCTCATCTCTACAGTAAATCAAAAAAAAATTAGTCGGGTGTGATAGCGCGCGCCTGTAATTCCGGCTACTCGGAAGGCTGGGGCGGAGGGATCGCCGGAGCCCAGCGGGTCGAGGCTGCGGAGGCCGGGAGCGGCCACTGCACTCCAGTCTGGGTGACAGTGAGACTCCAACTCAAAAAAAAAGAAAGAAAGAAAATGTTTGTAAACTATTCATTTAATAAGTATGCAAGGAGCTCAAACAACTCAATAGCAAAAAAAAAAGAAAAGAAAAGAAAAGACAAATAATCCATTAAAAAGTCATAAAAGTGGCTACAGATATACAAAATGTCCAACATCACTAATCATAAGGGAAAAACACGTCAAAACCACAATGAGATATCCTCTTACCCCAGTTAGAATGGTTAATACCAGAAAGACAAAAATGACAGATGCTGGAGAGGATGTGAAGAAAAGAGAATTCTCATACACTGTTGATGATGTAAGTCAGTACAGCCATTATAGAGAACAGTATGGAGGTTTCTCAAAAAACTGAAAACAGAACTACTACATGATTTAGCAATCCCACTACTGGGTATTTACCCAAAAGAAAGGAAATCAGTATATCAAAGGGATGCCTGCACTCCATGTTTATTGCAGCACTGGTCACCACAGACAAGAACTGGGCTCAAAATAAGGGTTCATTAATGGACAAATCGATAAGGAAAACATGGTACATATACACAGTAAATACTATTCAACTACAGAAAAGAATGAAATCTTGTCATTTGCAGCAACATGGATGTTAAGTGAAATAAGCCAGGCACAGAAAGACAAATATCACACGTTCTCATTCATATATGTAAGTTAAAAAAGTGGATCTCATGGAGGTAGAACGATGGACACCAGACGCTGGCAAGGATGGCTGCCATGAAAGATTGGGTGGTAAAAGGCGCAAGCATACTGTTAAACGCAAGGAGTGAGTTCTCATGTTTGGCAGCACAGTAGAGTAAATATAGCTAACAGTGATGTTTATTTAAAACATCTCAGGGCCGGGCTCGGTGGCTCAGCCTGTAATCCCGCACCTTGGGAGGCTGAGGTGAATGGATTGCCTGAGCCCGCAGGTTCGAGACCCGCCTGGGCAACTTGGCGAGACCTCATCTCTACAATAAATCAAAAATGAGCCGGGCGTGGTAGCGCGCGCCTGTAGTTCCAGCTACTACTTGGAAGGCTGAGGCAGAAGGATCGCCGGAGCCCAGCAGGCGGGAGCGGCCACTGCACTCCAGTCTGGGCAACAGAGTGAGACTCCAACTCAAAAAAATAAATAAATAAATAAAACATCTCAGAAAATTGAAATGTCCCCAACACAAAGAAATGACAAATGTGTGAGGTTGTGGATTGTGCTGAACATGCTGACTTGATCACTACACACTCTGTGCATGTACCAGAATACCACATGTACCCCATACACATATACAATTAGTATGCAGCAATAAAAAAGAACAAATAGATATATTAGAAAGATATGAGGTTTTGCTGACCAAGAAAAAAAATAGCAATAAAGGGTATTTCTTTCACAACTTAGTCCAGCCTAAAACTTTCTTTTCCTTTTTATGTGAGTCCTACTAGTCCCTGGTACAGGCCCAAGACTGCCTCTGATTTCCTTTCTTTTGGAGGGCCCTGGGGAATGGGCTGGCTGTGCCCAGGGCGGGACCCTGGGAGTTGAGAATCTTCCTGCTGAGGAGCTCCCAAGGCCAGGCCTGGCCAAGGCACCTGGAGGCCCTCGGGGTGATCACTGAGGCCCCATGACCTCACACCACTCCCATGCGGGCTTGGTTTCCACACATGCTGTGCACCCAGGCCCTGTGCCGTGCGACCCACCATGACTTTTTCAACCGCATTGTATAGATGGGCAAACTGAGGATTGGAGAAGAGGGGCACTTGCCTAGGGCCACACATTTGGCAATAACAGACAGATTCAAACCCACGTCTGACCTCAGGCTCTCAACCACCCGGTCATGTGCCTTTCCTCTCCAGTGTCCACAATCACTAGCACATCCAGGCCACGCATACCTCTGCAGGGTCAGAAGGCCCCTTTGCCCGCTCAGGTCACAGTTCACACAGGGGAGGACCACCCTTCCTTGACCACCTCCCTCCCTTGCTCTCAGCCACCACACGTTCGCTGAGGCCTCACTGGCACGGTGAGCTCCACAGGCGTAGGAGGAACAAGGACACAGACAGCCCCGGGGAAGCACACACTGGTGGATCTCTGAGAGTCACAAAGCACTGACAGCATGCTGCAGGGGCAGGTGGGTGGGGAAAGGTGCCACTTTCAGTGGAGGAAAGCACAGGCTCAAGGATGCATGGGAGGCGGGAAGGCCCGGGTAGGGCTGTAGTGGGTGGAGGGGGTCGGCAGGTCGGCCCGGGTCCTCACCCTGGGGACGGTGGCAGGGCTGTGTGTTGCAGGGCTCTGTGTCCGCTGGCCTGGTGCTCAGCTGGCTCCCACAGCGGTCAAGCCCCTGGGCACATGACACCTGTCGCCTCCGCATGCCCAGGCCACAGCTCCGGGAGCACTGAGGCCAGGCAAGAGAGAGGCCTGAGGCTGGGGGGGAACTGTGATGGGGGAAGGTGCCAGACCCCGGGACGGAGACCCCAGGACGGAGACCCTGGGACGGAGATCCCGGGACGAGGGCTGGGCAAAGGGGACACTCACAGGACCCCAGGCACCAATGTGCCAAGACTGGCCGCTGCGGGGGGCACAGTCCTCACGCACACAGGGCTCGGTGGCAGGCGGCTGGTCCTCCAAGGAGCACACAGTGGCCTGGGGCAGGGACCCCTCAATGCGATGGCAGGTGACACTCCGCCTCCGGACACCCACACCACAGCTGACGGAACACTGCGAGGACAGCTGTCTCAGGATTACCCTTCTGGGGCTATGCCAGGTGGGGCAGCTGAAGGTCCCCAGCCTGCTGTCCACATCCCTCCCCCAGGCCTAGAGAGTCTGAGTTCCTTCCTGAGGCCACACAGCCCGGCAATAGGTGGAGGAGCGCAGTCGGTGAGCTTACAGGAACTTGTGACCCAGACATGGTCAGCCCTCCCAGGCATCCTCACTCTAGGCTGGGGTCCTGGAGAAGAACCAGCCCAGGGCCAGGTGCCTGCTCCTCGTCCCACAGCTACAAGGTAACCTGTGGGTCTCTCTACCTCCCAGGACCGGGTCTCCACGGAAGATGACAAGCCCCACCCAGCCACCAGCAGGGTCTCACCTCCCCCCAGGGCCCTGGGCTCCAGGCCATGCAGTGATGCAGGTTGCAGGGCTGCACAGTGGGGGGCTTCCCGGGCAGCCCGGTACATTCTGCCTCCTCAACGGCCTCCTGGATACCAGACTCATTGGACACACAGTAGACAGCACGGTACTGGGAACCTCCTCCGCAGGGGGCTGAGCAGGATCCCCAGGACCCTGTCTTCCAGCTGGCAGGAGGGGGTTGGGTGAGGCCGGCTTGTGGGAGAATGGCTGAGGCCAGCGTGACAGGGGGGTCAACGGCTGAGGCCGGCGTGTGGGAGGGAGAACGGGTGAGACCGGCATGTGGGGGAGAACGGCTGAGGCCGGCATGGTGGTAGAGAAACAGGTGAGCCCGGCATGGGGTGTTGAGGAGGATGGGTGAGGCCGGGGGGGG